ACTTTAGACTTAATGGTAAATGATTACACAATTTCTGACACTTATTCTATGATGAAATTGATAGGGCATCCAATGACCGGGCTTTAGATCGTTGCACTGATCAATTCAAGGTGTTGTCACGTCTTCTTGCAATGGCTGAGGTTCATTACTTGAGGTAATCAAACACGCGAGATGGATACGGCTTTAAGTAAGCGTGACCGATCATAAATGCGGTATCGGTATTTCGTCGATTTTGGACACGGTATTTCGCTGTTTTCCAATTTTTCTTACGGTATTGTGGCATTGGGTACTCCCCAATGCCCCCCTCGTTATACAGACGTCTCATTCCTCTGCTCCCGCGCACAGGTTTTTCAAGACATATTTCTTACATACTTCCAGGATCCTTTGAATACTGACTATTTTGTTTGTGGCTTTTCAGTGAGTGACCTCAACTGTAATGCTCGCCCATTGTCTAATTTTCATTTATTTTCATGCTTCGTAGAAGTGATTTTGAACTGTTATAATACTAAAACTGATCTACCGTTTTCGTCTGTAGGTATTAGAGGGTTTCAATATCTGCGATGTGTGGCGTTTTAATGTACTCTACAAAGTTGAAAAGTTGAACAAAGTTTATGAGGGGAGGGACATCGACTTCCGCAGAGCTAATTAGTGTTAGTACTTTATCTCTTGGGTTCAGTCATACGCAGTTTGCATTAGCCTGCATGACAGGCCCCTGCGCCGGTTGAGTTTTTGGTTCGTTTTAACGTGCGAGGGATTGCGCACACTTTCCTCCTCTCGTGCGCGCGGGCGTCCACGAAACTTTTCCCTTCGCCCTACGCAGGTTAAGATTGCATTAACAACTTAAGTACACAGTTTTGAGGGTTTGAATGTACACTTGAAACGCTTTATAAAGGTGAAATATTTCTCAAGAGCTGTGAACGTGAACGTATGAACGCTATTTATGAAATGTCGAGGATAGCCTCTCGCGCAGATGTTCTTAGGGCTTCGTCACTGCGCCCCCCGGGAGGGGAGGGGTGCTCAACAAATTTTTATACGGGGAGGCTCCGCCCCGCGGTCCAACCCCTTGCCCTTTTATCACTACCATTTTTCAAGGAAAAGGTAGTCCTTTCGTATACCTTCTATGTACAAATTGTACCCCTTTCTCATACCTTGTTTAGAACTTTGCATCCCTTTTAACTGCTGTAAATGCACTGTCTTTTAAATAGGAATCAATCACAAAAATAGAACGTTTTCTTAACTTTTTAAAGCCATAAAATTGATCTGTTAACCCTGCTGGGAATTGGGTCCTTTCACAGACCCAAATGACATATTTTCCTACCCATTTCGTATACTTCAACTAGTAAAATCCCTACCCTTTCATATACCTAAAGCCTGAAAAAGATACCCCTTTCGGGCGGAGCCTGCCCGTATAGGCCATTATAGGGAGTACCCCCCGGGGGGCGCTACCTCATGCATTGAAGCTCGCTTCCCTCACTTTTACCGAGCACTTATGAGAGGTCGACTTGTAGCGAGTGTAGGGTGTCATGTTGCTTCCGTCCACTTTACTTGTAGTCATCTTTAATTTAAACTGATTTCGAAGGGAATGCAACATTAACACGTGGTAACATAATAAAGCAAAATAGACTGATTCACATTAAATTGCGTTGTCGTAAAGTTGCATGATTCATCTTAAATCCAAAAGTTCATCACAGCTTTGGCCTCAAACAAGAACGTGCCTTATCAAGTGTCGTAATATAATCCGCAAATCAACATGATTCTATTTACACAATCATAAATCTAAAATTGAACAGCAACACAGGAAGTTAATATAGATACTTCATCACTGAACTCGTGGGGCCTCGTGAAGCTTAATCTATTAAACGATAGCGTCATGTCTTGACCTTTAAAAAGGTTCTGTTTTCTTCTGAGTGCACACCACCAACATAATTTTTTTCAAAAATTGAAACTGTAAACTGGATTCGAAATAAAATACAACGATAGCAAAAATAAACGGATATACTCTGAAATCACAAAAGCTACAACAGAGTAGTCCTTGTCGTTGCGGTGGACCAGTAGCCTGCGGTGCAAACCGTCTAATTCCCCGCATGATGTCACCAATTCAAACTACTGAAGAAACTATCGCTGCTTCTGAGTTTCTACTGTCATGTGATATTAGAGCACCTTAAAACCCTTATACAAACAAATTTTCGGTTCAAAAGGGTTCTTTGTTTTGCGATACAGGACGCTTGAATTTCCTGGCTTTTGCGTGACGCGGCATTTATCTGGCGGCCGGGAAAGCTCTTATGTGGGTTAAAAACATTACGGATTTTTGGAGATTTTGCTGTCTAAACATTCCTTGTCTTAGAATAAATATTACTTGAACCTTTATGAGTTCCTCACGCGAAGAATTCTCGCATAAGTAGGAAAACTCAAAAACAGATGTTTCTGTTGGTTTCCGGCGGCCATTTTGGAGCCCCTGAAAGGGACACAAACATGGCGTCCCCATACAAAGCTTTATAAATTTGGGTAAAGCGTTTTTCCGAATATCTCGCATATGAACTATTGCATAGACCTGATTCTCGGCAAGGCTTTTTGTATATTTATCTTCTTTCATTTCCCAGATTCTAGACTTTCTGTATTAAAAGGTTTGCATTTTTATTTCTGCTTTCTCACGTGAGTAAAAACCGAGAATGCCTAGGCCTCGAGTGACAAGCCAACCTCATTCCCAGGGTTCTCTCCTACCCGTCCTGACGGAGTGAGAGAGAGGGGTAAGAGAGAGGACCTGGAACGAGATTGCTCAGGCTATCGACCAGAGGAGCCCGTAATCCTTATCTCTAGGTTGCTTTTACGCATGCGCGACACTTATGTAGCTTCTTGGAATGCGTGGAACGCAATGTGATCCACAGGCAGCCCAAGCTCAATTTAGTTTTCTAACATAACGTGTGTGAGGAGTTGTGTTACAAGGTCGTTCAACAGAAGGATTGTATGGGCTCGCAAACATATGTGAGGTGTTGTGCTACAACGGTCGGTTTAAAGATTATAAAGGTTTGTATCAAATCGCGACTGATTTAATTTTAGCCCCATTTCTGCTGATCTCGACGATTTACCGTCGACAGAGTTTCAACTGCCATTTCAGAGCTAGCGTTTCGTTATATTATGGTTTTGTTCCGGCAGTGTCATTACAGTAAAGAACAGTTAAATCCTCCAGTTAGTAATCATGTTACCAGTGGAGTTGCATTGACGACTACACGGTCAACCAATGCAGTGAAACCACTCTTGCCTCTCAAGTAGATTAAGGCTTTGATCTTTACAGATTTATCAGAATTTTTAAAGGCGGATGGTGAATGTAAAGTATTTTCAAGATATCCCACGACTAATAATTTAGGGCTAACCATAACCAAGAAATCTAATAATTTCATTTTAACAATTGTTTATAATTGCATCACGTGACCAGCCACGCCCTGTCTTACTGAGAAATCCTTTGGGTCGAAATTGCCATCAGTAGCGTAACAAGCCGTTAACCTTTTGTGGGTCCAAAAAGTGGCTAATAACAGTCTTCTCGTAAAAACGGTCGGAATGAGACGTTCTCCTGACGAATATTTTATTCAGAGAAGGACTAGCACTAGTCAATGAACGCCAATTGCACAAGCGAATTGTAACGCTTCGAAGCATTCCGAGCTGATTTCGTAATTTGTAGGGTCAGTGTTTTGATAAAGAGAAACTGAAGCTATTCGTTTGGCAAGTGGTGAGAATCGTTGGCTACAATTTCCGAACAATAGAGGACGTGGTCAATCACGTGACCAAATAACTTGGATTTCTTTTTTCAAGTTTTTTAAAATTTTTCATCCATAATTCCTCATGAATGTCTTTAACTACAGTTTTTGGAAAATGTACATAAAAACCATAAATGACTAAGACCCAGGACTTAATCTACTTGAGCTTGAGTAGACTTCTTTGCCAGATCATTAGAGACATTTAATAGTTTAGTGATATTAAATTCTGTATCCTCTGCGTCTTCAGGGGTTGGTAGCCTACTTCATCCACCATAAACCATTTGTCTCAACAACGCCATCCAACAAGTCTCCAGCTTCCTGACCTTTTCTTCATTTATATACCAGGCTCGCGTTCCACATAAGAGGTGGGATCGCACACGTGCCGCCATTAGCTTAGTTCTTGGTGTCATGTTCACTTTCTGGTCCGTAAGCACTTGTCTCATTTCATTGAATTTCCCAATTGCTTTTGATACACCAAGGTCTGTAAAACTGCTTTGATCTTTATTGCTGAACATTTGGCTAAGGTATGTGAATTCTGATACACTCAGAATACTAAATGCAGATCAGTATTTCGACAATTTTCGCGAAATTTAGTTTCTTTTAAATTTTTATATTTTTGGCCAATTCGCGAAATTAAAGTACAGCGAAATATACCCGTTTCGTTGAAGCGGAATCAAATTCCTGCAAAAATAAGTAACAATAAGGTATATCTATAATTTCTAAAAAAGGTGCCTATTATCCTACAATTTTTAGCTATTGGCTGGTATACCTACATGTATCTTCCTTGATGACATAGGGAGTGGTCGTTCAGCTTATTTTGCTATTATACTTCTCAATTAGCAGATATGACAGGGACTGAGGGAGAGGGGAGGGGGAATGTTTTACTGGCTAATAAGCATTAGGCCTGGAGAAAGCTAGCCTTCGCAGATAAGGCTATCGATAGCCCTTCGTCAGAGGTTGGAGCGATGTTATTGGTGAGAAGTATTCTCTCTTAATTGTGGGAACGTTGTAACGTGAAAAACAAAGGGCTAAATAAATTAGCTGAATGAAAAGCGTTCGTTGATTGATTTAAAGATTAGCTTTTGCTCTTGATTTTGGCGCTCTTTCCATTTGGTGTTTGTTTTTTTTTTTACACGTTTTTGAAAAGGAAAATTATAATAATAGTCCTCTGTGACCAGCATATTGTCTCTCTAATTTTTTGGTTTTCGTTTCTTTATTTTCCTTAGTCTGTAGGTAACCAGTTTAATGATGCAAAGCCGAAAGTGTGAGCACGTACCCCAAAAAACAGATCTACCCACTTTAGGTGTTGAATTGCCCAAGAGAAGTGACTCACCCAAGGAGACGAAGCCATGGAGTGACGTGAAGCTTCCAGTTGACATTCTTCTGTTGACTCTGGAGGACTGCGAGTTCTTGTCTTGCTATGTGCACTTAAGAAATACATATAAAAGTTACCACAAGGATCTTGGTTTTGTTTTCTTTGGAACAATGGGTGAATGTGGTGAGGAACAACTAAAAGTTGCTTTAATAAGATGGTCTGAAGGCTCTTCCTGCACACATTATTCTCAGATCACTATCAGGAATCCAGTGATGCAACTGAGGCCAAGGGCTGTTTTCTCTGTTAGCTACTGTGTAAGCCTGGACCCTGAAGACACCAAGTTAGGAGATGTCCTGGCAGTTAACGACTTAGGAACCACTAACAACGACTTAGGAACCACAGCGACAAGAGACCTCAGTAACCTTCTCAGACAATCTGCTGATGGCCAGAATTCGCCATTTCTCCATAGAGATGATAATAGCAAATTTTTGAGTAATGTAGACCCAGTCATCAGAAGCAGACGTGTGCGGTCAAGCTCTGGAGTAATTGCTTCGAGAATAGAAGGTAAAGTTGGGTCTTTTTAGCATTCTATCTTACTTTAGTCGAACAACAACAACAACAAACTTTATCAGGAACTCATCAGCAATACAACAGAGTTTAATGTTTAAAAGTAGGTTGAGTTTGATCATCCGGGTGAACGTAGTCCTGAATAGGACTGTTGTTGTTGACACTGGCTGACGTTTCGACAACCTGTGCGGTAGTTACCTTCAGAGTCAAAGTGAGTTGTATCACGTCAGTTGATGGTATTATACTCTGGTTATACTCTTGTTTAATGTTCCCCCTAAAATATAAAAATCTAATAGAGGCGGGGAAGGTGATAAAAGAGAAAGAAATATTAATGCTATAAGAAACAAAAAACTAACAAACAAAAGTATAGTATTATGTAATTAAAATGTCCATAAATAAATAAATAGATTCATTAATGATTATTTAGCAGTGGTATAGTTATCGTACAAAACAGTTTCACTAATCTAGTAAAAAAATATAAATCTTTTGTTTTGCTCTTGAACTCTTGAACATAGAAAAGGATGATTCATAGGTTTATTTCATTATCAATTGAACTCCAGATTGAAGGGCCTAAAAAAACGGATGTTAAATTTACCATAGTTTGTTCTGGCATAAGGAAGAAAGACTGTTTTGCTCCAAGTCTAATATTTTTGTTATGGATAGTTGGGTTACTCTAGTGAGGAGCAAACTCCATTTGTTACTACCTCTCGAAAGCGACCAACTCCCATACACTAGACAAAAAACGGGATTTGCACAAAAGTTTACTCCTTGCAAACATGTAGAAAATTTATAAAAACGGAAGAGAAAATATGAGGCAAAGATGGGAAATGCCACACAGGGGGTGTAGATAACAAGGCAAATGTGGCATTTACCATCTTTGCCCCAGATTTACTTCTCCGTTTTTACAAATTTGCGCAAATCCATTTTTTCGTCCAGAGTGCATAAGCGCGGACCATTTATCCAAAACACTAAAGTTTTCCCAGTCAAAGCCCCATGGCTGGAACCTCTCATAAACGACTACTCGTAAGCCACCCGCGGCCACTTTTCTTTCGGTATCGGTTTTATAATTTTTCGCGATTGGCTATAGAAGTACGGCTGATTCCAGTTGTCATTAGTTATGCTATGTCACTCCTAACGATGACAGTTTTTATTCATGTAGAAATGAAATCATCTCTGAAGACAACAGTTTTTGTACTAGCAAAACTGGCGTCACTTTGCTGATAACATTTTAGTACGAAGTTACTGAACAAACTGTAAATAGTTTCACCCTTTGAAAGACCTGTCAACGAGTATTTCACAAAACCAAAGCCTTTTACATGCAATTAACGTTTCGAAAAGTCAATGAAATGTTGACAAAAGTTTTTAAAGGCTTTAAAAAGTTGCAAACAAGTTAAGTTCAGAGTAGTCTTACAACTTATAAACACCGTTAAGGCCCTTTTGTTTGCTTGTTTCATGTCATAATATGATCATTATTTTTTGCGGTTTGTGGAATTCTTTGCCAGGCACATTTAGTTCGTGCTCTACCTAACAAACATCTCATTAGCCTTACTTTAAGTAACGGATGGCTTCACTTCCTTCAGTTGTCTCATGAAGAAAACTCGGGAAAAAAAGATATATTAAATTTTTTAAAAATGATTTTTCGGTTAGTTTTCTAGATGTTCATATAAGTTACTTCTTATAGTCACAATCATTGATCACTAATCCATAAAATTTTCTTCTCGCTTTCACAGCCATAAAATGCATCTGTTAACACTTTTTGGTCCTTTTACACACCGAGATGACAGATTTCCCTACCCTTTCATATACCTCAACTAGTCAAATGCCTGCCTTTTTATATACCTGATTTTTCATGCCTCGAGGATTACCAGAAGCGATTGCGAATGATGTGTGCTAGAGGCAAAGTCAAAATTGTTCGATGGAAAAAATGCCTTGCCATTTTTATTGACGACATACGTACACGGCTGTCTTTGTTTATCGGTGACAGGAAGTCCAACGGCTTGACACAACCGAGAATTTGTCAGTACATGGAGATATTTCGCGTTGCCTCACTCGTAGGAAAAAGAATTCGGGGGAAAAGCAGCCCAGTTTCCGGTGAATAGTTGTATTCATACCAATTTTAAAGTTCCAGCCTTACATATTAAGAATTGACTTTAAAAGATGTGGGTTTCGAGTGGGTTTAGAAATTTAGATTCGTGTGATTGACATAAATGTCATGTCCCAGTCTAGCCCGCGAATCTCACTCCTCGCTCCTCGCCGCTAGTGACTTCTCTAGTGGCGAGGTGCGAGAGAGGAGACGCCTGACTGTATTCGCAGGCTAGTCCCAGCACAGATGATTGCATCCTTGGCAATACACATTGAAGCTGCTTGCCGGTCTTCTACGCTAATATTGGCCTCGATTAGGACGTTAATGTCAAATCACGTACCGCTCAGAAACAGTGGAAGATCTAGTTCACAGTGGAAGACCCTTTCTCTTGCGTACTTGCAGAGCGAGATGCGGTTTACGTGGTCATTTTGGTCCTCAAGTACTCCCTGATTGACTTTCTGTAACTTAAATAAATAAAAATATGTATCCCATAAAGGACTTTTTGGTAAAAGATTTCAGGGTCCAAAATTTTTCAGAATTTTTTTTTTTTAAATACAATTCGCAATATAAAAAGTGCTGTTACTATCTCTCTTTTAAATCTAGATTCGGAAAGCATTTCTACTTAGCTCATCCCCTCTTGTAATATATATGATTTGTTTTTTGCTGCTGTCTGTCCGCGTAGTGTGTTTTTTTGCTGGCTTTTTATCCTTTTAACATGATTTCACTGCTCATTTATCGTATTTATAGTCTAAAGTTAGGAGGGAAGCTCGTAGTAATAAGCTTCCATGGTTTTAATTTGAGCTCCCTGGCCAGAAAAATATTCTTATCCTTTTACGTAATTTACGTCATCTTTAACCTTCAACCTTTTTTTTTTCATGTTATGCAATGTATTGAAGGAGTGATTTTTTGCTGGCAAATAAATTAACTGAAACTAAGAATTTCCTTATTCTGTTCACTTTGCTGATATTGTGAACTTGTCCTTTGTATTCGCACACAGGATCTGCAAGAAAATTATTGACCGGCTTTACCATATCAGAAGAAAGGGGTACGCAGCAGTTCGGGATGATTAGGAAGTTTCAAAATGGCACTTTCCACCCTTCAGATGGGTGTCTAGAACTTAATTCTTTTTCCAAAACAAAGAAAAGCGTTGGAATCGTTCTTATTCCTGGGCTAAGTAATCCTGACGTCGAGTTTTGGTATATTTTTTTGGCTGACTCACTGTATTATGGTTTCCTCGGGATACCTATGTCTGACAGACGTATACTCTTAAAGAAACCTTTACATTGTAGTCCAGTGAAAAAATACGATCCGTTAAGTGGTAAATCACCTGAAGGCCGCAATTCTGGGCTGTTCTTGCCTTTACCTTCAAGGATTTCACATTACATTTTGTGTTTGAGGATTCCTGATAGATTTCAAGAAATAAAAGACATCATTTACAACAGAGATAACGTGCCCTTCTGGACGTGCTATGTGAGATTTGTAAAACCTCCTGGACGCGTTTTTAATGGTGTTTCGCCTTTACAGAAGGCAGCTTCCTTCTTTACAGAAAATTCCAGAAACAGTTCCCCTGTATCTGTTGTCACTGGAAATATCGCCTTTATTTTAAAATGTTGTGGCCCAAAAGGCACAGATTTAAACAACGTTTATTTTTCAAAGGGAGCTATTCCAGAAAACGGAACCTTCAGATTCAAAGTAAATGAACAGTCTTCATGGCATCATTGTAAAGTTGTTAGCAGTGGTAATGGTTTCGCAGAATCTTCACAAACGAGTTTCTGTATCTTGGTGGCACACAGTGACCAATTCAACTTACAATTGAGACTGGGAACGTCCGATTCAATTCTTCTTCCAAGAAGCAAAAGACAAGGTTCAGGCGTAAGGATATTATCAACTGAAGACGTGTTGCAAGACGAGGTAATCTGTGAATCCCTCTTCACCTTAATACTATTAAATGTTTAGGTTTTGTTTCCAAACCTCCAGTTAAGCACGAGGAAAAAAATCACATGGTAAACAACATCATTAGCCTTTTTTTGTTTTAGAAATTAATCAATTGCTAACACATAACGTTCTGACTAGAAACAGATTCTAGGTAGATTTTTTTGCCGCAAGTTTCTGCTGGAATTTGACCGATTTGAACACTCAATTGCGCCGACATCTAAGCAGTGAAGGGTCAGCTATTTGGGGGGCTCCAATTGAAGTATTTTTTAGCATTCTTCGGGTCATCACCTCGAGAAGGTTCTTAGTCAACATTTGCGTATGATGCTCTCGGCAAGTTGCTTGGCCTTAACCTGAATTTAATCCCTAGATTTATGATCCTGCTGAACGACTACACCGTGCATACGGTTAAGATTCACTTGCAGTGGTGCCCTGTGACAGTGTTTCAATAAATTATTACTGGTACACAGTAACTTTGGTTTTCTTGCTCCTTTGACAATCTCGAGAGTACAGGAGATATATCTGATGTCCCTTTCCTAGACATTCTGACACCGATTTATATCTTTGGGTGATACGAATCTCGTTGAGGAGGAACTAGACGACAATAGAATTGTCCCTGAAGGAGTAGGAAGAGAAAGCGGAGCAGGAAACCGAATGTTTCCCTTTGTCTTCTCTCTCCTCATTATGAAGTGTTTCTGTAACAAGAATCAACGAAGCAGCACGATCAGCTGTCAGCATCCAACCAAAAAATAAAGTAGACAATAGTAAACCTAGTTTTAAAAAGACTTGTTGGTCAACCGCAACAGAACATGTTGCTAATGCTGTGTGTGCTAATGACATTGGTCAAGGTCACACTATAGAAAAAAATAAGAACTAGACTGCATTAAGAAAATGAAGAAATGATCGTCGCAGTGAACGAAATTTATGCAATTGCATTATATCAATCAAACGGTAACTCGTGATAGATTATATTCCAAATTTCAAGAAATAGCGAAAGAACGCGTTGTTTGGTGTATATTTTAGCCTTCTGTGAGCAATTTACTTGCAAAAACGGCAAGTGTAAAGGCAGCGAGTGGGGTTGTCTTATCCGAGACCCTGGAGAGAGCTCTAAAAATTTCTATCAAAACCCTATCTTGTCCACGTTGTGGAAAAAAAAAACAGAAAGCATGTAAATAGCTAAAGTGCAACTGGTCGAGTTTTTTATGGTAATTAATATAAAGCCGATCACATTTGAAAACCTCTTTACGAGAGCAAGCTTTCCTTCAAAATACTGTATTAAAATAAGCCCAAGTGTCTCAGCCATACTCATGACCCCTCTGACGCCATCAGTGGTTATTTTTTCCTCCGATGATTTAACGTGATCACATTTAATGAGGCGCCATCGATCCTGTTATCCTTTAGGAGACTCATGTCCAAATGACGGATAATTCGGTGTCTGCTATACTACTAATAACGATAGATTTTGTAAAACATTTAAAAATAAAAAGCAACGCTATTTATCTTTGGCGTTTCGGCGACGACATGTCACCATTATCAAATGCAAATGAAACAGACTAATGAACCGCCGTTTTAAGATCCTTCAGAAATGCCGAGGAAAGTTTGAGTCCCTCATTTTTAAGCCGACTCTATTCCAGCAAAACGTTTCACTTAATTATTTCATTGTTTTGTCCTTCAAATTTAATTTTGTGTTTCACACCTTCGTTTCCTTTACATATATTTCGGTTCATAGTCTGTTTCGTTTGCGTTTGATAATGGTGACATGTCATCGCTGAAACGTCATGTTTTAATAGCTTTGCTTTTTCTCTGCTATACTACTCATGTAAAATCGCCGCTTGTTTAGGAGTTTACATTCTTCATTCTATTCTTCATTCTTCATAATCTTTTTTTAAATTACCTCAAATTTCTCTTTATATTGGGGTTAACCTTTACTTGGCTTTACTCAGTGTGTAACAGGTTTTTTATGGATGGTCGATCGTGCATAGTTTGAGGCCGTTTTATTAGAGGGCTTTCGATTCTGAGACGAGGACGACTACCAGAACGAGACTTTCTTCGGCAAAACTAAGTAGTGCTCGCGCGCGTGAACCAGCGTCTTTTTGGCGAGAAGACGTGATAGTAATCATCATTCTACTTCAAGTTTTAGAGAGAGTGTCGTAGTGGCGGGAACAAGTTATCAAAGTTTAGAAAGTTTAATCATATTGTGACTGGGAAAGGGCTTAACCTGCTCCAATAAAGATAACCTCACTAATTTTTCAGATGAAAAATAGTACTGTGAAGCTTTCCGGGTTGAATATTTTTCGAGAATACGGGGAAAACTTAAAGTTAAATCCAGTACTCGTACTCGTCTTTATCCTCAAATCTAAAGCTCTATATTACATTCAACTAATTAACGAACAAATTTTACTTTGTTTTTTTTTTTTTTAAAGAACGAGGAAGATGAAGAAGTCCACATTGTTAGAAATCTCTTCGAAGAGTTTCATACTGATGTAGACGTACCCCTGTGTCCGCGAAGGTGCCCATATTCTAGTCAAATCGTATGTCTTTATGCAAAGTTACCAGATAAACCTTCACCTGATGCATGCTACCTGACAAATCGTGAAGAGGGTTTAACTACAAGCGAATCTTCATTTGGCTTTGTTAACAACCAGGACGACCAAACAGCGTATTTGCAGTCATTGCAATCATCCATCCCTGGAGACAGTGAAAAAGAAAAATTTAATGGGGCTGTCGATCCCAGCTGTAATCCAAAGGATATTGATGCAAGCGATTTTGAGTCAAGTCTTGGGAATCACTGTGAAGTCCAGTGTAATGCTTGGGATGAAGATTTTTCTGTGCACCAAAACCAGATACAGGACTATTCCGATGCATGTCGTCAAAGTGTTCTAGGGCTATCACCTTTGACAAGTTCGGAGAAGACTGACACTGGAACCCAGACTGAGGATTGTTTTGGGCCTGTCTTGGCAAACTTGGAAAATGAGTTGGCAGCTTCTCAGAACATCTGCCACAAATTGCAACAAAAGATAAAGTGGCTAGAGGAGAAACTAGAGCTCTTTGAAGAGGAAAACCATAAGCTCCAAGTTGATCTTGGAAAGTACTTGTTCTTGGAAGAGAAAGAAAAGCGTATGTCAGCAGTGTCAGGCAGAAGAAATGAGTTACTGGGCCATCTTGTGTCAGGAGGAGCCACAACAGATTATGATGGATCATGTTCATTCAATAATCCACCAGACTCTACTTTGTCTGTTATGAATGAAGGTAAGCCGCTAATCATCCTTTCCAATTAATTCCATGAAGCTGATGCAAGAAAGGCTGACCCCTGACCGACAGCTCGCGACAGCGCTCCTTTTCGTTGCCTGTGTTAAATTTCAATTAACTTTATTTAACTTTGGGAAGCTACTTGGAGGAATTAGTCGTTTTGATCTTGTATCACAAATTGGAGTTGATGTTGAGGTTCCAGGGTCTTGTTGTAGTCTTCTCTATTAGTTTTTGTTTCAAAAAATAAAACATTTTAAGATGAACTTTTGAGGCACAGTAAAAGCTTCAATATAGTATGTTTACTAGCTGACGCAACTGCTTGATCTGAAAGGAGACACAAAATAAGGATTTAGGGCATTGTTTTTTAATACTCTTCGACCTCTATTATGTTATATTTTCGTCGTTTTATCGTTGTTATTTGTGACATAGCTTCCGGTACCGTATTGTACGTGCTAAAGGTCACAAGCAGTCCCCAGAAGAAAAGTGTCCACCATGCTAGAGTTGAGTCAAACCTGGCTTGATCGAAATGAATTTTTTAGTAAGTTTCGATGTGAAGAAACTGCCTTTCATTTCCAGAAGTAGTAACGTAACCTTATGTGTTTATTTCTCTCAAAGCATCGAAGCATTCCCAAGTAAGGAGTTTGTCAGGAAGAAAAACTGAACCACAGGAGCAAGCTCCAGGTTCAGCTACCGATGATTCTGTTGCTTTACAAGACAAACATGTTGACGAGCATCTAAACAGACAGGACAGGAATGGGCTTATCTTTTATGGGACTTCACTTCACTCCTCAAGCAATGCTGAACTCTTTCAAGAAAACGATACAACATCAAGTGAAGAGAGGGCAGATCACGAACACAAACAGTGTACACTACTACCCTGCAACCAAAGTTCAGAAAAAACCAACGACGTCCCCCCAGAATCGAGTATGAACGCAGATTGTCATCTCCCATCGTCCCAGGGCGCTGTTATTGCCAACGATTACCCTTGGACATCCAAGTCTTTTGATGCTAGCGTCTCATCAAATTCCAGTCAAAGCGCAACTGTAAGTTCAAACAGTCAGTTAGCTATTATCAGCACCTTTTACAAACCTAAGGCGATCAATAAAATAGCTTACAATGTTGATGTCACTCTCTTTTGATTCCGTTTTCCAGAACAGCAAGATCTCAAGTGACAATAGCCACAACCTAACTTGCTTTAAGGAAAATCCTAGGCTTTCAGTGGATACGGGCGTGGATTTGAAAGACGAAAATGTTGAAGTGCCAGGACCACGTGCTGCCAATGGAGAACAAAGGGTCGAAAGAGCTGTTGATTCAGTTGGTGATGCATCACTAACAGCATTGCCGCCTGGGACAAATACACGTGCTGTAAGCGCAGCTAATAGACCGTCGTCCTGTGAAACAAACTGGGAGCGTCTTGGCGCTAGACCTAAACAACCTCAACATTCGTTGGTGGCAGAAAGACCAAGGGAGCCTCTCGTCTCTGCAACAGATGGCTTGGCTGCTAATTTCCTGGCAAGACACACCCAAGATAAGGCCCTTCAAGACAGTCTTTACCAAAGTACCGGTACACCAAGTCCCGTTTTCAGCGAGAATTCGCACGGCACTTCCTATGTTGATGGTTATGCACCTGAACCAAACCGAGCTACTACATACTGTGGAGGTTTGTCATTTCCAGCTGAGACAGATCCACACGGAAGAAAAGAGAACCCATTCTTGTCTGCATTGAGTGAGGAGTTTGACAAAGGACGCACAGAGGGTAACTTCTCTTATGAACACCTTTATGATAACACGACAGATGCAGATGCACCAGATGGACCTTTCGACAGCCACTTTGGAGAGGGTAACTTTTCAAGATTCAGGAACTGCTCATCAAAAAGTACTAGTAGTGCAGTAAACAGCCATACATTTCAAAGTGGTTTTGTCGAAAATATCCTTGTGCTCGCAAGAAACAATCACCATGAGCTTGTGCAGGATCAGTCTGTTTTACCAGGTTCGTGTTCAGCTTCTAATTCGGAACCCACTACCACAACACAGCAGCACTGGTCAATACCTGGTAGGGTTTCAGTGGTCCGTCCCAGTGGATGCACGACAACTTTTGAAGATGCTTGTTTGGCACAGGGATCTACTCACGATACATCTATTCTTGAACCCCGCTATGGTGATGCAGACAGCTACAGAAGTTCTGTGTGGAACAACAGAGACTTTGGTACAGATTCAGTCGAGTCCTCAGACAACTCATTGCTTGCTCTGGAACGGCGTGTTGCAGAAGCTTCTGCTCTTGTTGAAAGAGTCCTGCGAGAGAGGGAGGAACGTGAACAGTTTGGAAGGGAGATAGAAAGAAAAGAACAGTTGATCAGAGAACAGAGAGCCAAAGAAAAGAGAGAGAGGGAAGAAAGAGAGCTGCGAGAAGCTGAAAACTGGCCACAACAACAAGAAGCGATCACTGCACGATCACAGTGGTTATGTGAACATTATCAGCGGCACTGCAGAGTACGATTCCCTTGTTGCACACAGTTCTATCCATGCCATCGCTGTCACAACATCTCGAAAGCTTGTGACAATGAAGAGGCTAAAGCTTGTCATGCCACTTATCTGAAATGCTCTCACTGTCAGGAAGAACAGGAGGTAATGTTTTTTTGGACATAGCAATTCAAAACAAACTGTAAAATTAAAAGTTATCTGGAAAAGTCCAGGGCCTGTTTGTCAATCAGAAGTCATGAGGCAGTACCTTATTTTGGCAAAGACTCATTCTTAATTTTCCAAATTCTCCTTATATTGTTACTCCAGTTGATTGGAGAACATACGAATGTTAGTTGCCCGAACAACAGTGTCGACACTTTCTACAGGACAGCCAAGTTAACAATGCATACACAGAAAACCGAAGAAGCAAATTTTCACGTTACTTACCCCGTTCTTAACTTTTTTGTGACTTGTTCTGCGTGTTGTCAATACCTTATTTCTTTTTCATTAAAGATCCCATAATGCTTTTAAAAACACTCACTTACTTCCCAGAGAGAACATTCCTTACGGCGAGGACCTCATTGATTTGGCGACCTTAAGCTTGTTTCGACGAAGGTACTCGAATTAAGGAGTTCAGCACCAGTTAAGTACAGTCAAAACCCGTTAAAACGCACACAGAGGGAGCCATAGAAAGTGTCCGTATTAACGGGGTATCCATGTCCAGCTGGTTGGAGACTGAAAAGGGTTTTCTTTCCCCTGTCCGTATTAACCAGATGTCCATAAAGCGTGGTTTGACTGTACATATGCAAAACTAAAAGCAATACTTGCGAGTCACATTTCCCGAGTCTCATTTGCGTTTGTTTAGTCTTATTTCTTGGCCCTAAGTAATCCATAGCATGAATCTAGTTTAAGTGAAACGTTCTGCAATTCTATTTTCACAGATTGGTGAAGACAGTGCTCATTGTCGTAAATGTGGAGGGAAAATGTCTGCTTATTTCTGTGCTATTTGCAAGCATTTTACTAGTATTGACAAGAATCCGTACCACTGCGATAAATGTGGAATTTGCCGGTAGGTTAAACATTACTTTTTCCTTCCAAAATTATGATAATTAGTAATTGAGAAAGAATTTTCACACCTTCAAAATATTGAAATCCTTCAGTGAGTGACAAAGGCAGTTATATACCCTAAGGAGACACCGAAATTTGATATTCTACGTCCATTATAAGGGTTTCAACCCCACAAGGACAAATTGAGTGTATCAATTGAGTTCGAATTCATCTATGGCTTTCTAACCAACATCAGTATCACTGCGAGACGATTTATTGAATTGATTGAGTACCTGAAATCCTCTACCTACATTTACCAGATTTGGCCATGTTTACAGTAGATACTTCATAGTCCGTCAAAATGGGCGGACGTGTACAGTCAGACGGATCATTCCTCCAAAACGGAAGCTGTTATTAGAAATGCCTCAAGTACGCGGAGAACACAGCCACGTCAAAGGGGTAGAATAACATAGAACCCCAACTCTTGCTTTTCCAGGACACGAAAATTTTCCAAGGCCTCACTATATAATAGAATTTACGATGTTTTGGGTCCTTTCAGTTTTTTGCTATAAACAGCATTTTTCACAAATAAATTTGAAAAATATATGTTATGATCTTCCTGAATGAAAAAATGATAAGAAATCAAGCAAATGTTGCCGATAATAATGTTAATTTCCAGCAGCAGTTTTTTCAAGTTTTCTTTTCTTGGAGAGAGCATATTTTTCTAAGGCATAAATGAAATAAGAAATTACAGAACCGCACGACTTAACCAATTTTTCTCATTTTGTTTCGATCAAGGATTCATCAGGACAAATCATTCCATTGTGAAGTATGTAATGTATGTTTAGACAAACGACTCGAGGGAAATCACAAATGTCGACCTGATTCAGGTCATGATGAATGCTGTATTTGCTTGGAGGTAAGTTAAAAATTCTTTCTGGTTTCTTTTTTGTGTGTGTTTTTGTTTTTAGAGGGTAAGGGTTCATTGCAACCCCTTTCTCACAAGAACGTAAGGTTTCCCTCATTAATTATCAGATAGCCTAAGAAAACAGCCGACATTTTGCGACGCTACCACTTGGTTCTCCGCCAAATGACGTGTCGGGAACAAGTGCGGAAATTCCATACTGATGTCGTACCTGATTGATCCTGTCGCGTTGGAATTTTGCTTCAACCAATCAGAAGTACTACCCAGATCTAGATAGTGTTACTTCATCAGTATGTAATTTCTTAGGCGTCGCAAAATGTTGGCTGTTTTCTCGGGCTAATTGTGCGAAAACAGTTATGTTAATGCTTGTTTGACTTTGTTACAATAACGTACATTAAACATTTTTTTTACTGAAAGGATGCATTCAGTGGTTGTCAGATATTACCATGTTCACACAAAGTCCACAGAGAATGTGCCATCGCTATGATACAAAACGGCATGTAAGTCATCACTTTTAACTCACTTACTCACTTTTTGTTACAGATAGTTTAAGTGGCAGATAATCCTAAATGTATCTTGAAGCGTTTAAGCTACTATCCTTTTAGGGTTTAGTCAAATGTCCCCAGCCGCTCCTAGTTCGAAAGGATATGAAGTGGGTGATGGTGGTTGCCGCCATGTTGTTGACAGGTTCCCAGAGACGCCATATTTCTTTCTGCCAAGGGGGAGGGGGAGTGATTTGAAAGTACACCAGGGCTCGTACAGAGTCTTGAATTCTTGAAAGTCTTGAAACTTGCCCAGCAGTTTTTCAGACCTGGGAAAAGTCTGGAAAAATAGTAAGAAGTCTCAATTTTTTACCCGTGGTCAAATTCCATTCAATCTCGCCCATAGCCGAGACATTTAATCACAGAATGAGAAGTTTCATAATTCTCTTATGTCCGCATTGCACCGTGGTTAACGTAAATTTGCAGTGCATCATGAAAAAAGCTTGGTTCCCTGTGTTTTCAAGGTCTCTATAGACCACCAGTTTGTTAACCTTGAGTCTGGAAAAATAAAGTATTGTTTTGGAAAAGTCTTGAATTTTGAATTCAAAAATCTGTGTACGAACCCTGTACACCCTTATTGTACCATTCTGGTAATATGTATTAGGGAAAAATTACACCAGAATGCCTTTTCCTCTCTGTTTTTTTTCTAGTCGTACCTGCCCGATATGTCGTCATCCTCTATACAGTCAGCCAAGGGAGTAAGTGTTCCTGATACAAGATCATTCACTTTACTGTTACAACTCACGTGGGGCAAAGATATGTCCAAAAATTTCTAGTAGTTTTTTGCATGTCTTTCATGTTATAAATCGCTCGTATGGCTCATAAATTCACAACTGATGTTCTTTTTCTGATCGCCAACACACCTGAGAAAACCTTAGGTGATATAGCATTAGTGTAGATTACCTAATGCTGTAAGGGAAACCGAATCTTTATTGAAAACGTATTTTTAAAAAGCAGCCTTTAACATGTTAACATCGTTATTTTATTTTAAGTCTAATTTGATCTTAAATTTTTAGTATTATCAACTTTTGTTTATTTGAAATCTGTGTTATTCAAGTATTAGATAGGAGCGCATTTAGTCATATCCACATGCTAAAGTGTACTTTTTAAATATTGTTATATTATTAAAGTGGAAAATTGGCATTAAATTTTAAATTGATAACTAAAGGTTTTAAAATACCTTATAAATTAATCGAAATCAAGGTACTTTGGTTTCTTGGTATAACAGTTTTTACATGAACAAACAAGTCAATAATGTAGCAGTAGTGGAAGGTGATTTCTAGCCTGCGTAGCATGGCGGTTTTGTCGAGCCGGGCGCAGGAGCGGCGTAGCCGCGAGAAAAATAAAAACCGCCTGCCCGGATTCGTGGCCTTTTCAACTGCCGCCCCCTTCAACTCATTTTGACATCCTGTTGACAACTTGTTTGGTTTCAGTTTTCCCAGCCAATCAGAAATAAAGTGTTGACAGCCTAAACACGACACAAAAGCTCGTGATATAGTGTAAAACGTGACCTTGGCCGGAATTGGAGTTTGCTTGAACAAACACAGGTTTTTTCTTTGTGGCTATCTCGCACATAGGTGACTACACTGCGTTTTTAACTTGACTGAGTAGATCTTATTTTTGCTGCGCTAAGTCTTACATTTATTTAGAGGTCATGAAGTTGGTTTGTTTAATCCGTATTGAGTAATTATTTCCTGTGGTTAATGTTAGTGTTGCTAATCAGAATTTGTTGATCTCAGGTGCAGTTGTAAAGTACTAATTTCTTTGACCACTCTTAAAGCCTAAAGCTTTTTATTACGGCTAAATAAATATTTCAGTTTCTTTGGTCTTTTCCGACTAAAATGCCTGGATCTGGATAACTACAAACCAAGGAGCCTTGGTTTGTAGTTTCTTTGTCCGTGAATGTTTTGACGCTGGGCCCGGCTTTTTAAGTGTTGTTTGCAGGATGTTGTATTTTTACGTATAGCGCGATCTTCAGATTTGAGTTGTAGCTTAAACTTAAGCTCCACCAAGCAAAAAAGTATGGAGAATTACGCTGTGCGTCTTTCTTCTACTGTATGCGATTCATCGACCACAATCGCGGACACCGTTCGATGTATTGCGCTGAAGTGCGTTATTCTCTAACACCGAGTAATAGAGAAAATTGAGGTGAACTTTCTCAAAGCACTGAAATTTACTGTTTCTGTCATAAGGTCCATTGCTGTACAGCTCAGCGACAACATTTCAGATATCTTGTCGTCGATAGTACTTTTTAGAGGGGAAATTGTGTTCATACAGGTTTTCGATGAGGATATTTCTTCTTTGGCCATAGCAAAGACAGTAAAGATCATGCTCTTGCCAAATCTTGTTGACAAAATTTCCATGACATCTCTCCTTTGAAGAAGACTGTAAATGGCCATTTCCTGTTTAGGCTTCAATACAATTGCCCTGTTTTCCCGTCAAATTTCAAGATCGACGACGCTCCGGTCAACGCTTTTTTGATATTTTGATTTTATTTTGCGGAGATGATTTGTTCAGTCCCTCGAAATTCTCCCATGGGAGATTACCAAAATATTTGATTGACAGGCGAACATTCCGAACCAATCGGAACGATCCGTACGCTGGCGTACGGACCGACTCAAAAAAGCCCCCCGTCCGTGCAGGCGGTTTTTCAAGTTGCTCCCGCCCCAATCTCCTCGCGGTTTCTCTGCCCTCGCCTGCCTTTATTACTTAGCGCGCCCAACCAAAACCGCCATGCTACGCAGGCTAGGTGATTTCTAAATGGCCAACTGTTAGTTTAGTTTATTTTCTACGTATAAGGCTGAATTTAATTACTAGAGTAGTTAAAAAAAACAGACGTTAATAACACTAACTTTGTTAGACAAATTTTTCACGAATTCGAAATAGCTTAGCTGGCGAGACGCCTTTTCTCTCTAGCTCATTGTGGGAACCTAATTGCTTTAATTTTTATTCCTATATATTTTTTGGGTGAAAAACAATTCTTAGGATGAAAAATACATCACAAAAGTGCTTAAATTTAGGTAATATTTGGCATTTTTGATAGACATATATTTCAATTTGTGAAACTACTGGGGAGTCTCTCTTTTTTTCCTTTGTAATGAGGAAAATTTTAGAACTTTCAAAATATTGTTTAAGACTCATTTTTTATTGGGTCCAATAGACATTTTGCAAATTTTTTATCATGTAATTTTTTATTGTTTTTAGGAAAATTTCAATATTTTTAAAATATTGCTTAAAACACCTGTTTTAAACTAGCTTTTTATTAGGTCCAAGAGATATTTTGTAATTTTTTTATCATGTAATTTTTTAGGAAAATATTAATTCTTTTAAAATATTGCTTAAGGCACATGTTTTAAATTACCTTTTTATTAAGTGCAATAGATATTTTGTAAATTTTGATCACGTAGTTTTTCTTGGTTAATATGCTTTTATATGTCATTCGCATCTGATCATGTGTAATTTGCGCAATATAAGTAATAAACTTATAATTAATATTATCATTATTTATTATCATTATTATTATTATTATTATTATTATTATTGATGGCTAAGTAAGATAAATTTCATTTCAAATTCCATTTTCTCCAATCCCGTAATGGGCACTAAATGCTTTATTGATATTAGAGGTTTTGATAGACAAAATAATTTGTTTTAGTGTTGAGGAGTCTCCCTTCTTAACCTCTCTCATTGAGACGAATTTGGTTTTAATTTTTTAATATTTATTCCTAGGCTTAATTTTACTTAATTGCACCACAAATGCGTAAACAGATGTTTTAGAATTTTGCTTTGACTCATATCCTATTCTCAACAAAAATTTAATTCATATGATATCGAAATGAACGTAATAGGGCGCAATTTTTGTTTCATTAGAATTATAGCTTTTAAATAGACGAATATTTAGCCTCTCAGTGAGACAGATTTACATTTTTTTAAATTCTAGCCTAAATTTCAAATTCACAGGACAACGAAACATACGACCAAGTTTTGAACTTTACTGACATTTTTGTTTTACTTTATTTTATTGATATTTTTATTGCTAGCAGCACTTTTATTTTCATAATATTAATATATCATGAATTTGCAATGATGTCGGCTTGTCTCCTTACCTTAGAGTCCCCCAGTGAGACAAATTTAGGGTTAGTTTTTTTGCAATTCTTAACAGGGCTCGAAATTGCGACTGATACGGTCGCCAATGCGACTAACATTTCTCCTTAGCGACTAAATACCCTGGTTTCGTCGCCAAGTTGGAGACTAGGTTTCTCTATGATTTAGATTTAAATTAAAAGAGTAAACTTAAAACAAACATTTCATCCTATCTCGCTTTCCTTTCGTCATAAAAAATGCTTCAAAGTCAGCGGTACTTTCAAACAATCAAATCTGATGGATCGCGCCATACTTTGGGCTTCTGATTAATCTGATAGGTCGCGAAAAAAAGGCAAATTTCGCGGGATTTTCAGAGACATATTCGGAGGAATTTTCGGGGCTAACTTAGCCGCAAAACAATCGTTAAAAAACGGCCGATTTGGTGGGAATTTTCTGAGAAAATTTCGCTAGAAATCGATCGATTTTCCACAGATTTGACGAGCGTGTTTAATGTTTTTTGACAGAGATAATCATTTGCTATTTTAACAACAAAGTGCTGGAGAAATGAGCCAATGGCAAAGCTTTTAACATCATGACTAGTGCCCAGTTTTTCGCAACATAATTTACGCCCGGTTGTTATGGGGTGTTGTTTGTTCGTTCTGGTGATGTAGTTTCAAGAGAAATTTGCAAGTTTACGGCAATTAAACATCCCCAATAGCCGAGATAAGTTTCAAGTATGGTGTATTGAATTTGTAGCGAATTTCGCGGTATTTTGCATGTTTTGTGAATTTTGCTGGATTTCGTGGATTTACCAGAATTTCTCGGCTCCGCGACCGCGCTAAATATAAGAAGCCCTGATACTATGAGCTGTGTCATTTA